TCCCAGTATCTGCTCGACACCTAACTGCTGACGCAGATGCCTTTCACAAAACCCAGAACCTGGCCTGTGTCGCCAAGAACCAACAAAACTGGAGAAAGTTCTGGAACCAGTGAGGACAGAGACTGGAGGTGCTGCCGGCCTTTGGCAAGCTGCTCAGGTGAAACCAGAACACGGGTGGGTGCGTGACAGCAACCTACACTTCAAACTTGAGGAGAGGGAAGCAGATAAAAGCCTGGAGAGGTAAATACCTGCTTTTATGCAATATGTGATTACACACAAAATAAACTGTACAAAATACTTACGATAGGTTGTTTGGGCAGACACAGAGGTAGATGTTGACTAGGTTTTCCCATAGGCCACAGTCCAAAGAGGGAGAGAGAGCCCTGGCTGGGTAGCTCAGTTGGTGAGAGCATCGTCTCCATACACCAAGGTTGCAGGTTCGATTCCCAGTTGGGGTGCATACAAGAAGTAACCAATGAATGCATAAATAAGTGGAACAACAAATCCATGTTTCTCTTTCTCTCTCCCTCGCTCTCCCCTCCTCTCTCTCTAAAATTAACCAATAAAATATTCTTTTTAGAAAGAGGAAAAGAGACACCTTTTGGTGAGTTTCATTGCTCTCCGAACCCTCCCAGACACAGTTGACCTATAAGCACACCAGAGCAGAGAACAGGGTCAGGCAGCAAAGGACTCTCTCAGGGTCATGCCTAAGGTTTACTCCCATGACGCCTCAACTTGCCTCAGCCGAGGCCCCTCCCCAAAGTGTGCTTTGATAAGGAACACTCCTATTTCTTTTCAAAGCCCGAACACAGGGTAAAGGTGACTGATTTTCATTCTAGGCCTACTCTTTTGCTATAGAAAAGAGCGAGCAGGCCATACTCTACCCAAAAGACTTCAGGTAGGTGTCCTTACATTTCTGACAAAGAACTTGGTTCACTGGCTTGCTCTCCAGAGGCTGACAGCACCGGCTGAACCTGGCTGTGAGCTTCTGCTTTTTAGTGAAGCCAGTATATATAACATTTATTATCCTGCTACAAAAATGTAATATCTTTTTAAAGTGTGGGGGGAGGGGCAGAGAATTTCTCCTACACATTTGAAGAATAGAAAAAGCCTCCCAAATCCCAGAATATGTTAGAGCTGAAACAATGGAGGGTTTTTTTTTTTTAAAAAGTCAAATTTAATGGACCGTTTAAATTCCTAGTTGATGGTAATTAGAGAGTAAACAGTACTTCTTGAAACCTTGCTAGACAGAACTTAATCCAATTTAGATAATCACTAACCTTTGCTTTTCTCTCTCTCTGTCTCCTCTAAGTGAAATGCAAGAATTGATCTACAAAGGCCATAAACCGGCAAAGCATAAGAAAAGAATATTTAAAGACAGTGACTGGGCAAATATTACCTCAAAGGGCCAAGTTCAATGAAAATAAAAACAGGTCTCACGGGCTTCCTAATTTATATCAACTTTAACCTGAGGATTCTAACCTGGCATCTTCACAAGAGAAGGCATGGCAAGGGAGGCCAAGGTACTTCCTCCCCCATTCTCCCCCTCTGGGCACCTCATGTGGCATGCCAGTCCAGGTCTTATCCCTGCCAGATCAATGCTGGTCATTCTCGAATTCACACTATCTATAGGGCCTCTCTCCCGTGGAATAACTACTGCCAGGCTGTCCCTTCCGTCCCTCCATTGTTCACCCACCTCCTGTCCCCTCATGTTAGAGTTCCTGCACTCCTCTGGTATGAAGTTCCAATCCAGAAACTTCCATGTGAACCACTAGGCCCTTCTTGAGCACTTGAGACCCTGGGTTCTTCATGGAAGGCCTTCAAGATTACATATGAAAATGTACCGGAAAGAGCAAGGAGCTTAAGTTAATGGCTGTGTGACATCAGGAAAGTAATGAACCTCTCTAAGCCTCCATTTTCACATCTTAGAGCAGAGGCGAGTATCTACCTGCTCTGGTTGTTGAAAGGCTCAAATAACATCACCATGGCTGTACCTGGCTCACAGTACTTGCCCAATACACAAGTTCGCTGGTTTAACTGTACACGTTTCAAAGCAAACCTTAGATCCCCAGCCCTGAACAAAAATGTAAATCAACTCCACTGCACCTTTGATGCCCCATCATCGCCTTGCATCATCTACGCTCCCATCTTCCCTGTGGGCTCCAAAATGGAATCTTTCCTTGGAAAACAGTGCCTTTTGCTTAACCGGGTACCATTCTCTCTGTTCCCAAATGCCTAGCCCCATCCCCCATAAAAAACAAAAAACAAAAAAAACTCCACAAAATGCTTGATTCGCAAATTTTATCAACTGAGATATTAGTTGATAAAAAACTGGTCTATAAGCATGACTTTCAGCAAGCATCTGCATTCTGCATATAGAGGCTACTCTAGGGAACAAGCTTTTAATGATGGACGTTAAACACGGTAGGGAACTTTCAGAGGGGCTCAAACTCTATTTCTCAAATCAATTCTGTATTGATCTAGCTCTGTAAAAAAGACTAAAAGGGAAAAAGACTGCAATTCAAGACAGATTTTGGTATATTTTACCTTGTACAGGGCAACAGAAAAGGAATGCCCACAGGGAAATATATACATGCATACCACACATCCTTAGGATAGAGAAATATGTAAGAAATCCACAAAGTCCTTAATAAATTTAATTTTCTATTGATAGTTTAAATATTGCACATACATCATCAATGAACGAAAAAGATTGTGACACTTAGATCTGAATTACCAGCACGAAATCTTCACATAGTAGTGTAACAGGGTTTTAGAGAGAAGATTAGAATTTCTTTTTCAATAACTGAACCACTCTGTGTATTATGTGATGTCTTTAAAAAAAAAAAAAAAGAAGCCACCAGGTTAATCAACTATAATCTAATCAACAACTGAGGAACTGCAGGGACAGACATCTCCAGCACAGGCTGGTACTGTGAGCCCGGAGTAACAGATCTGGAATCCATTCCCAACTCTACCCCCACGTATGTGACTTTGGAGCTTTTTTAAAAACAGGGAACATTTTTATCATGTTTAAACTCAGACCACTATGGAAATCTTACCCATTGAAATAAATATACTTCCATGACCCTCTGGATCTGAAAGAAATGAGGTCTTCTCATTCAGAAACAAGCTAGTCTAAACTGAGTCCTTAACAAATAAGCCAGTTGGACTAATTTATTTCTAATGCGTTTTCTTTTTTACACCATTAATGGTTCTGGCTGTTAGAAGCAGCAATAAAATACTGAAAGGAACAATGGTTGAAGTTGGAAAAATCGAAGATAACTTTGTGAGCTGACTAAGCACTGTTTCCCTTATCTGCTACATAGTATGCTTTGCTCAGTACCCCAGGTCAGATTCTAGGGTTCAATCCTGCAGCCAGAGAAGGCAGGCCAGCCAGGTTCCACAGAGGGGCGCTGCACCGCTCTCGGTCGAACTAGGAACTTCACCACCAGCTCAGTTTAAAAAGTGACTAAATTAGTGTCTGCAAGCTCCATTTCCTTTCCTGACTCACTCGCTGCTGCATGTTGTCAATAACAAAGCTTTCCACCCCACAACAATTCACCAGAGCACAGAACTGTGACATTTTGCAGCATGTAGGCCAATGAAATGTCAAGTCTGCAACCCAGGGTGGTCAGGATCACCAAAAGGAGGTCAAAAAGGGCAGTCTCCAAGGCTTTGATCAGCAAGCACCCTTTGCTAGAGGTGGAGGGCAGAGGATGGAGACAATCCAGACCCTTGGCGTCCTTGACTGCTTTGTTCCTTTGCATTGGGTCATTTGAATTTGCACGCCTAGTCCGGTCCAGGGCTGCGCCCCAGCGGGGATGCCTGCAGACTCCAGACCAGAGCTCTTTCCGTTCAGGTCCTCCGAGCAAAGTGCTGCTGAGCCGCCGCGCGTGAGCTGTAGGTCTTGTGGGGCGCATGGCAGTAATTGAAACCTTGCATACCACAGGATTGCAGTGGCATCTATAAATACTCACTGCCTTACTGCTGACGAACAAAACTCGGGCTCCCGGCACCGCGGGGGAAGGGGCCGCGGCCTGTGACCGAGGACAGGGGCTGGGTAGAACAGGGGAAAACCCTACTGCCAACCAGGGCGGCACCCCTGAGCCGATTCCTGAAGCACAATTTGCAAGTACACTGACCCGGGGCAGCCGCCCCTAGGAAAAGTATCGGCCGGGAAGGGAGGCTCGGGCCGCCGGGCTGGGGCTCCCGAGCGCCCCCTGTGCGCAGTGAGCACGCCGCGCGCACAGTAGGCGCGCAGAGGACAGCCTAGCCAAATGGAGGGCGGGCGGGAAAGATGAAGCGAAAGGGGATGCCGCCGGCGCCGAGAGCTGCCCGCCCAGCCGGTCCCCCGCGGGCTGCGCCCCAGCCCCCAGCCCGCGCACGTCCAGCTGTGCGCGGGACAAAGCAGCCGCCTTCCCTGCTCTGCCTTTGCACGGCTCTCTCCGGCAAAAGGGGACCGCAGGACAAGATGGGCTGTTTCGGGGCGCCGGATAGCCTGCGCCCGAGCTCTCCGCCCCACAGCCCGAAAGAGAATGAGAGAGACAAACAAGCAAACTCTTTTTCGAACTCGTGGCTCAGCCTGGGTCCCACGATCAGCGGCATCCCCCATCCCGGCCACACTGGTGCCTCGCCCACTTTCAGTCGCGGACGGACGGACGCGGGGCGCGCCTTCCCCTCCGCCGCACCAAGGGGGTCTCGAATCCGGTCCTCTGCACCCGCCCGCAGCATCCGATCGGAGGATCCTTAACCTTGCAGGGGTCCTCAGCGGTTGCCCCCAAATGGGACGCTTTCCCCGAGCTCCCTTTCCCCGTGCCCCACCGGATTGTGCCACTGCTGAGCCAATGCCTCTGGCCCCTCCCGGAGACTCCCCCGCTCATCCTCTTGGGGTCCCGGGAGTAAGTCACTTCGAGCCGTGCACAGCCGCAGCTCGCCTCCTCCCCAGACGCCGCGCGCTCGGGGAAAAGTTTCCGGTTTTCCCAAGAAAGTTTTCTCACCGGAGAGAAATGAGGGACTTGGACGGCTCTCCCCGCCGCGCTCTGCCCGGCTCTCCCTCCTCCGTCCTCTCCCAGCTCTGCCCTCCGCCGGGTCCCGTCCAGCCTCAAGTCCTCTCCAGCGCGAGTCAACAAGCCAGGCGGCCGCGGAGTTCCCAGAGCCCGGCTGGTGACACGTTTCCCTCCTCTCTCATCTTACGGCCTCCTCCTCCCCCTCCTCCCCCTCCTCCCCCTCCTCCTCCCCCTCCTCGTCCTCCTCCTCCTCCCCCTCCTCCTCTCCCCCTCTCCTCCTCCTGCTCCTCCTCCTCCCACTTTTCCTGTCCTGTGTTCTTCGCTTCAGTTTCTCTCCGAGAGCCTCCCCCTCCCTTCCATCCCACTCCTCCCCAGCAGCAACTCTCACCCTGCTGGGGGGCGGCGGAGGGGGGAGCAGAGAGAAGGGGAAAGGGGGCGCCTGCACTTACATCCAGTTCAACAATATCAGGAAATCCAACTCTTTTAACTTGAAAAGGCCGGGAGGATGCCACAGGTCAGGGAGCTCAGTGCTGCGTTTCCTTCACACAAGACCAGTCACCCCTCGCCCCCCACCACGGGATCCCCCCCCCACCCCCCACAACTGGAAACACTACCTAGAAGCCAAGGAGCGATTCTAGGGAACTAGAGCCTAGGACTTTTGTTGTTTTAAGGAACAGCCCCATGGCCCATTACAGAAGTTGTTTTAAGTGCATTTGTGAAAGTATAATTCCAATGAAGTCTCTCCCTTAATAGGCAAAAACTCTTAAAGTTCCCAAATTCTCTTTCCAACGGAAGGTTTCATGGATTGAATGGTCCTTCAGAGTCTGAAACAACAGAAAACCAACCAATCCCCAAATTAAAAACAATGTCAAATTATTTTCAAAGCTTTTTTGTTTTGTTTTGTTTTGCAGGTGTTAAGAATTAGATGCAGCTGTTTCAGGACTCACTGGCTTGCATAATTTCACCCTATGGTTGAGCAGGAAATACTTTAAAAATGCTGCCCGCTTACACATCACACTTAGGCTTTGAAACCACAGTGACATTTGCTGAAGAAAAGATATGTCTTTTTAAGTCAAAACTGAGGGGGGGAAATCGTGTTTATTTTGATCACTGTGACCTTACAACACCTATGTAAGGGTTGCTGGTCAGGGTGTGCCCACAGGGGAGGGGGAATTGATGAAGTTCTGGGTGCTCCACTTGTCCAGTGACATTCGTGAAAGCCAAAGTATTCTCAGTACAAACCCCAGGATGACAGAGAGGCTTGAAATCTTATCCCAGGAATCACATACAATGAAAGGAACTTGGCCCCAGACACTTGCCTAAGGAAAGCTTGAGGGGGCAGTGATGTGGGAGGGGATTTGAGCTGCGGCTTCAGGGCAGCTGAGCTGAGGCCCTACGAGCCCAGTCCTGGAGCCAAAAGGTGAAGGTTTGTGTACCACATCCTTCTCTTACTAGCTGCAGGGTAAGAGCCAAATTACTTAATCTTACTGTGCTTCAGTTTGCAGCCATGAAAATGGGTCTAACATAGTAGCTGTCTCATAAGGTTGTTATGAGGATTTAATGAATTCGTATAGAGAAAGTGTTTAGAATCTCTGCTGGGGTTCAACAGATATTAAGCTATTATTACTATAATTCTCCCACAGGTCCAGAGGTGAAAAAAGCTACTCCACAAGGCTACAGGAACATTGATTTGGGAACATTCATTCTGCATTGCAAACGCCCTCATCTCTTTGAAGGCTGTGTTCAGGGAGGTACACCCTATTGGGTCTATTTAAAATTGTAAATAACTCTTCCCTCCTCTTCATTCAACTCTACTCTTTCTTTTTCCATTGCATCTATCACTTGTAACATATCCCAAAGTTTACTTCTTTTTCTTTTTTTATCATCACCTGAGGACATTTTTCCATTTTTTGTTCAGATAGAGTGGGAGGGAGGGAGAGAGGGGAAGAGAGAGAGAGAGAAATATCGACATGAAAGGGACACATGGAGTGGCTGCCACCTGCACGACCCTACCAGGGCCGGGGACAAACTGCAACCGAGGTACGTGCCCTTAGTGGGAACCGAACCCGGGTCTCTCTGGACCTCAGGCCGACGCTCTAACCACTGAGCCAAACGGGCCAGGGCCTTCTTTTAAAAAATGTATTGTCTCTCTCCCATCACCTCTTACTTCCAGGCCAGCTCAGCTCTACAAGAAAATGGATTTGCTCTGTTCACTGATATTGCCCAAAATTCTCGAGCAGTGTCTGGCATAGCCTGTGCACTAAGTAAATGATAACAAAGGGTAAGTGGATTCATTTAGCTAATATATGCTGTACTAAGTGCTTATGGTGGGTTGGGCACTGTGCAATTAGAAAAAAAATCTAAAACATAATCACCAGACCTATCCAAGGATAAAAGAGGCTCCCTCTGGCCCTGGCCAGTTTGACTCAGCAATTAGAGCGTTGGCCCATGGACCAATGAGTCAAGGACATGTACCTCGGTTGTGGTTCATTCCTGGCCCTGGTCGAAGTCCTGCATGCAGAAGGCGAACAGTCGATGTGTCTCTCTCACACCAATGTGTATCTCTCTCTCCCTCTCTCCCACTCTATCCGAACAAAAATGGAAAAATATCAAGTAAGGATATATAAAAAAAAAACAGAGGCTCCCTCTGGAAGAAGTACACTCCCTGGTAAAGAGAAGTATTCACAATGTAGGCAATGCCAGCTGGGTGGAGATGCCCTAAGAGAGTACCCAGGGACCGGAAGGGAGGTTTACAGAGGTTAAAGTCTCTTCTACCCTAGAGGTTGCTGTATTTGTTTTTGTTTGTTTGTTTGTTTTTATTTATTTTTTGGTACGTGCCCCTAGCAGGAACCAAACCTGGGACTCTCTGGTCTGCAGGCCGACACTCCAACTGCTGAGCCAAACCGGCCAGGGCGAGGTTGCTATATTTGTAAGTAGAATTTTCTCAACAAGTAGCCAACATGTTGGTGTAAATCAGAACTTTGTGCTAAGGATGATTAATATATTATACTTGTCACCACTCAGATTTTTACCAAAATTCTAACCAAATGCCCCTGGAACATTGCCTTTTCTTATTAAGAAATATAATATTTTTTTAGAACAAACCAGTGCAGGTTACTCTAAGCATTCATTTATGGAAGAGGAAATTCTAGGTCTTTATTAGACACATCAGGTATACAGCTTGCCATGGCCACAGCCTTTGAAACAGAAGTTGGTCCCGTCAAGGTCCCTGCTGAAAGGGTAGGCCTTGGGCAGCCCCTTTTAAGACCAAGGGCCAGCACCTGACTCAAATGTAGCCAAACTCTGTGACGAACACTGGCATGAAAAAGGTACACTGAGCCCATCAGATTCCATCTCAGGAATGTGAGCATAAGCGCACACACACACACACACACACGCACACACGCTGTAGCTAATACCCAGAACAAAAGCTGAAAGGTCATGACTTTATCTGAGCTCTAGACTCTAGAAGTTGCAGGTTGGCTGCCTGTGGGCCAGCTAAGTGCATATTCAATGTATATTTTTGGATCCCCATTAGGTCAACATTTAAAAAAACAATTGCTCACATGTAAAAATCAGAAAACTTCCTGCAAAAATGTGGATTTTCAGCTTGCCTTGAAGAATCTGGAAGACCAGCGTGGATCACGCTGCAGGCCTGCACAGCCACAGTTACCGCGGGCTGAGGCACTGCCCCCCGTAGACAGGGCACGCTGTTTCCAGTTCGCCACAGGCCCAGGCACTCCCACTCCCGGCCTCTCCTGTCCCAACCTGCTCGCCCACTTCCCTGCCCCAGGCATCCAGAGGAGGGATGTTGGCACACACCGGGAGCGGCCAGAGGTATGAGTAAGCAGAAATTACGCTGTAGGATGACATGGGTTTATACCATTTTCTCCCCAGCTCCATGGCAACAAGGTTTTTTAACCAAAATTTGCTTGGACTCACATAATTTGGACAGTACTGAAGTAAAAGAAGCTATGAGGTAAAAATGGGCGTACAGGAGCATCAAAACTTGGAGATCAAAACCACCATCTATTTCCCTAGGGGTTGCCTTGGGATCAAAACCACCATCTATTTCCTGCTCTTCCAGAGGCCTGTTCTACTGCTCCTGTGTTCCCATAGCAATGCCTGCGTACCCCGTCCGCATTGCACATGTCCATCCCCAAAGACATATCGGACTGAGTTTGGGGTTAGCAGTAGGTGCACACAAACAAGAAAGGACAGGGCAGGGGGTCCCTGATCCCAATTCAGTGCTCTTGAACTACACTGTACTCCTCTTGGTCTTAATAACTACTTCCATCCCTGAATAATAGTGAAAATCACTTCTGTTTTCCGAAAGCATAGCATTGAAGGCCTTAGGATCTGATCTGCAATAGGTAGGAAGTGAGTGTCTGCTGAATTAAGGTGTTCAAGGTCTGATCTTCAGTTTGGACCTCCTTCCATGATACTTCAATGTCTCATACCAGCTCAAAATATTATTCCAGTGAAAGAAAGCCTCATATCCTTCCATAAGTTGTCTCCTTTATATAGATGGGAAAATGGAGGCCCCGAAGAGATCCTTTGCTGATGCCTGGTACAGCGGCTGTGAGGAGTACAGGTAGGTCCCCAGGCCTAGGCAGTGTTAAAACACACAGTTTTTCAGTTCCTCAGAGCTCCGGTCATAAAATAAGTTAATGTAGTTACTCATGAGAAATACTCTTGATATAGGACTTGCATAAGCACTCCATATACATCAGCAATATTGCCCCATCCATAAAAACGGGACCATTGGAGAAATAAGCTCAGCATCTGACCTCACACCAGGGTGTGAAACCGGTGACCTTTGGTACAGCGGCAGAACTTAATGCACAAATGAAAAATAGCTTACCTTCCTTCTGCTCGCCTCTTAACTCCCACAGTACAAAATGGGGAACCTTGAAGTTTGTTTTTTAGAAGAACTTGGATGATATAAACAAAACATAGTTTTCACATCCTTTTCTTGACAGCAATGGGGTATTTCTGGTGTGTTGGTAGTTTTTTATTCTTTTTTGTCGTTGGTATTGGGAAGTATCTGTCTTCCATTCTAAAGGGGCTGGTATTTAATTCTATCTGATTGTATTTTGAGAAGGGCTTGAATGAGCACATCTTAAAAGTGAAAAGAATTTTAGCAATCCTACACGAATTTCCCCTGGATTA